TTAGGGTTTAGGGTTTGCGTGGTTTCTGCAGGTGAGCTTCAAGCCGAAGAAAGCCGGAGGCCTCACCGTCAATTTTATTGTGCCCCAATCGGAGGTCAGGCTGCTGTTGCTATTGCTGCTGTTGCTGCTGCTGCTGCTGTTGCTGCTATTGATGTTGCTTGTCTTGCTGCTGCCGTCTCCATTGTCACAGTTGGTGCTGCAGCTGTATTTTTTTTGCTGTTGCTTTTGCTGCTGCAGCTGCACTAGTGCAGCACATCGCATCTTCGTTTGCTGCCGTTATTGTCACTTAGCTGCTGCCAGTGTTGCTGCTACAGCAGTGCTGTTGCTGCTGCAGCACTGCTGTTGCTGCTGCAGCACTGCTGTTGCTGCTGCGACTGGTGATGTGTCCCGTTGCTTCTGCCGCCTGCTGCTGGTGCTGCTGCCTGCTGCTGCCGCGGCCCTAAGCCCGAGGCCAGCGCTGAGGGTTTGCTGCTGCAGAAGTGCGTTTTGCTGCAGCTGACACAAAAAGCAGTGCAGCAAATTCTGCATGAGTACAGAATATTCAACGCAGACATTGTTGTTCGCGAGGACTGCAGTGTACGTACACTCCAGGATGCCAGCCCCAAACCCTAGCAGCCCTAAACCCTAGCTGCCTTAAACTCTAGCAGTCCTGAACCCTAGCAGCCCTAAACCCTAGCATCCCTAAAGCCTAGCAGTGCTAATCCCTAGCTGCCCTAAACCCTAGTAGCCCCACACCCTAGCAGTCCTAAACCCTAGCAAGCCCAAACTCTAGCAGCCCCAAACCCTAGCTGCCCTAAACCCTAGCAGCCCTAAACCCCCTAACAGCTCTAAACCCTAGCAGTGCTAAACCCTAGCTGCCCTAAACCCTAGCTGCCCTAAACCCTAGCAGCCTTAAACCCTAGCAGTCCTAAACCCTAGCAAGCCCAAAACCTGGCAGCCGTAAACCCTAGCAGCCGTATGCCCTATCAGCAGGAAACCCTAGCAGCGCGAAACCCTAGTAGTGTCAAACCCTAGGAGGTCTAAACCCTAGCGGCCCCAAACCGTAGCGGCCCTAAACCCTAGCAGCCCCAAACCCTAAACCCTTCTCCGCAGCAGTGTGGAGGTTGGGGTTTTGCAGACGGATGCTTTTATTGACGTAATTGAAGGAAATCGGAGGTTTTTGAAATGCATTTATGTTTACAATAAAGTGGATATGCTCACTTTGAAGGAAATCGACGAACTCGCCCGCAGGTGAGACGCCCCCACTGCGGTGTACGTACACCGCAACCCAACGCAGCAGCAGCAGAACCAACGCCCCGTGCATGCACGCATGCATGCATGCGTGAGTTAGTAAACGCATGCATGCATGCATGCATGCATTGACATGCATGCATGCATGGATGCGTTTAGTAACTCGCCGTTGCTGGCGGCTGGAGAGAAGAGCCGGAGCTGTTCTCGAGAAGAGACTGAAGCAAGCCACGCATGCATGCATTAGAATGCATGCATGCATTGTAATGCATGCATGCATGCATGCATGCATGCATCTGGCTGAGTGCAGGCCGAACAGTGTGGTGGTTAGCAGCCAGGCGGGGTGGAATTTGGAGCGGCTGAAAAGAGTGGTATTTGAGGGTTTGGAAATAAAGCGTCTGTACACCAAAAAGAAAGGCGAACTTCCGGACTTCACGGAGCCCATTATCCTCACCGGACAAAGAGGTAACCATGCATGCATGCATGCATGCATGCACGCTAGCGTGCATGCATGCATGCTAGCGTGCGTGCGTGCGTGCATGCATGCGTACTGTTGTTTTACATATGCGTGCACGCATGCATGCATTGTGCACGTGCATGCATGCATACTTATTGTACACCATGCATGCATGCATGCATGCATGCATGCACGCATGCAGATGTGCGTTCTCGCGCTGATAAAAGTGGAGAGGAAACAGGGAAAGCGAGAAAGCATGAAGGATATTTTAAATGCATGCATGCATGAGATCAAGTGTGTGACTCTCGGGTGTCTGTACACCTCAGACAGGGGTAGTGGCTGTTGTTCTGCGGCGCTTTCCACCTTTTGAAGTTCATTTTAAATTCTCTTTTTAACTCCAAATTTTACTTTTTTGCAAAATCCGTTCGGGATTGTTCCTTTGCGCGTTTTCCACTTTGCAGGCCCCTGCACCGTAGGAAACGCCGTCTCTTTGATTCATAAGGTTCGCTGCTGCTGCTGTGGCTGCTGCTGCTGCTGCTGCTAAGACAGCTGCTTGTAATGCTAGCGCTGTTGCTGCGGCATGCATGCATTCAGGATTTACTAAAGGACTTCAAGTTCGCTTTCGTTTGGGGGGCTAGTGCGAAGCACCAGCCGCAGCACGTTGGGCTAGGTGCGCGTGCTATTGCTGCTGCTGCTGCTTTTGCTGCGGCTGTTGCTGCTGCTGCACTTGCTGCTGCAGCTGCTGCACGTCGGGGTGTCTCGACACCTCGTGGAACTGCTGCCGCTTTGCATGCAGGGCACGAGCTGGCGGACGAAGATGTAATTCAAATCGTCAAAAAAACCTAATTGCGCAGCAGCGACTGCTGCTGCCCAGCGGCAGCAGCTGCAGCAGCTGCAGCAGCTGCAGCGGCGGCACGCGGAAGTGCGTTTACTTGATTTTCGCACTCGTGAACCTCAGCTTTACTAAATCGCGTAGCTGCTGCACCAGCGGCCAGCAGTGCAGCAGCTGCAGCAGCTGCTGCAGCGGCGGCAGCCACTGCTGCGCAAACAGCAAATACTTTCGCAGCAACTACAGCAGCTGCTGCTGTGACAGCAGCTGCTGCTGTGTTGCTGCGTCTCTGTATGTACTTTTAATGAGAAAGGATGTGAGACTGCTGCTGTCTCCCTACCAAAAACGATGTATGCAGTCAGCAGCAGAAGCAGCAGCAAACTACCGGTGCTGCTGCGGGGTGCTGCTGCGGGCGCACTAGCTTGTGCTGCAGCAGCCTTTGCTGCTACAGCAGCAGCTGCTGCAGCTGCTGAAGCTTTAGTCCTCCTCGGCGTTTGGGTCCCTCAAAATGATCTTCTGAATTTCGTCCACAAATACACAAAAAGACAAATAAAGAGAATATTATTTAATATGTCCAGCCACTGCTAGGACTGCACTTTTGTCTGCTACGAGCAGCAGCAGCATTAGCAGCAGCAGCATTAGCAGCAGCAGCAGCGGCAGTAAAAGCAATGTCAGTCACCGCAGCTGCAGCCACACAAGCAGCAGGAGGAGCGGGTGCCAGGCCACCGCCAATGGCACCGGGCCACGAGCAGCAGCAGCAGCAAAGAACAGCAACATGAGCAGCAGCAAAACACGGCAACAGGAGCAGCAGCAACAGCAAAAGACAGCAGCAAGAGCAGTAGCAGCAGCTAAAAGCAGTAATAGGAGCAGGAGCAGTAGCAGCAGCAAAAACAGCAATTGAAGCAGTAGCAGCAGCAAAAAACCACACCAGCAACATCAGCAGCAGCAAAAGCAGCAGCAGCAGCAAAAGTAGCAGCAGCAGCAGCAGCAGCGTAAGAGTCTGACGGCTTCTGTGATGACGACTTTGTAGAATGCTGCTGCGTCTTTGAGCCTTTCGAGAATTTCATTTTTTGCATTTTGGGATTTTTCTTCATCAGCAGTTAATTCATCAAAAGTGAAGTTTTTGCAAACTGTGCAGATGTCGGTTTTTGCTTCTTTTTCTAAAAACCTAAACACAAAAGAAAGCCAACAGGGCCCCACACTTTCCATTTGCTGCTGCAGCACTTGCTTCTGCAGCACTTGCTGCTGCAGCACTTGCTGCTGCAGCACTTGCTGCTGCAGCACTTGCTGCTGCAGCATTTGCTGCTATAGCACTTGCTGTTGCAGCATTTGCTGCTGTAGCACGTGCTGCACTGCGGTACTTGCTGGTGCAACATTTGCTGCTGCAGCATTTGCCTGTTTGCTGCAGTGCTGCACTGGGTAGCTGTTGCTGCTTTCTCTTTAACTCTTTGCTGCTCGCTTCGCTTTTTGCTTCTTGCATGAACTTAGCGATTCTGTGGGGCTGCTGTACTCATCAGCTGCTGCTGCTGCCTCGGTGCATTGCTGCTGCCGCTGCTGCTCCCCACATTTGCTGAATTTGTGTCTAAGTTCACTTCCTCAGCTCTACTTTGCTAGTAGCAGCACGACAAATGCACAAACCAGCAGCAGCAGCAGCGGCAGTTGCAGCTGCAGCACACATTACACGAAGACGCACCGGCAGCGGCCACAGCCAGCAGCAGCAGCAGCAGCAACAGCAACAGCAGCAGCAGCAGCAGCAAGATTTACTCCTTTGCATATTGCTGTCCGAACTGAAGATATATTTCGGGAACGAAGGCAATTTTGGGGCGTATGCGGACCTGCATAAAAGCCTTTGATAAAATAAAACACAAGAGAACATTAAAAAAATGAATTAAAATAAAAAGAAATAAATTAAAATTAAAGAGAATAAGTAAATAGATGCTGAGGCTAAGATGCAGCAGAAATGCAAAACAAGAAGCAGAAACAAATAAAGAAAATCGGCAAAAAGAAGCAGCCGCCCATGCACTTGAGCGCAGCAGCTGCGAGGGCAGCAGCTGCGCCAGAATCTGCTGCAGCAGCAGCAGCAACAGCAGCGCGATTTGCAGTGGAAGAGCAGCAGCAACAGCAGCAAGATCTGCAGCGGCAGAGAAGCAGCAGCAGCAACAGCACGATCAGCGGCGGGAGAGCAGCCGCAGCAACAGCAAGATCCGCAGCGGCCGAGCAGCAACAGCAACAGCAGCAGCAGCAACAGCAGCAGGCCACCTCGATCTCTTTGTTGTCTTTGGTGTTTGCGCTGGCCAACAGCTTTTTCTTCAGCGGCTGCACTCTAAACAAAATGGGTTTGGAGCGAAAAGGATTAAAAAGAAAAAGTTCTCCTTCGCCGTACAAAAAAGGGGAAACAGAACCTTCAAACAAAAGCAGCGGCAGCAGCAGCAGCAGCAGCAGCAGTGGCTGTACACCTGGTGGCTTGCGCGAGGCCGCGGGGTGTACGTACACCTGAACGCCCGCTGCGCCCGGAAGCGAAGATCCACTAGGAAATGTTTATTGCCAAATTAAATTAAATTAAAAATAAAATGCAAAATGAATTCAGCTGCAACACCAGCAGCAGCAACCGCAGCAGCAGCGACACCGAAAGCAGCAGCAGCACCTGCAGCAGCAGCGAAGGCGAAAGCAGCAGCAGCCACGGCGACAGCAGCAGCACCAGGAGCAGCCAAATAAGCAGCACCCCTGCAGCAAAATCTTCCCTAAGCAGCAGCAGCAGCAGCACCAAAAGAATATGCCGGCGGCAATCCCCCCACTACCCCTGGCAGCAGTAGCAACAACAGCAGCAGCAGCAGCTGCTGCTGCTGCACCCTCAACGGCCGCCGCAGCGTCTCCATCCACGCGCCTGCCCCAAAAGCAACAGAAGCAGCAGCAGCAGCAGCAGCAGCAGCTGACCATCTTTTCGTTTTTGAATGAGAGCAACGTGGCCGGAAGGCACGTGCTGCGCGCTGCTCCAGACACAAAAGGAAAAGCCGCAAAGAGCAGCAACAAAACGAAAGTTGCTGCTGCTGAAAAGCCGGTGGGAGGAAAAGAAAACCCCCACGCGCCCCCACGGAACTGAAGCCCCGCCCATTGCTGCTGCTGCTGCTGCTGCTGCTGCTGCTGCTGTGCTGGTGTTTTGAGGGCGATCCTGCGTCTGTTGCCGGTGACGCTGCTGCTGCTGCTGCTGATGCTGCTGCTGCTAGTGATGGCGGTGCAAGGGCTGGCCCCGGCACTGCCGGCTAGAAGCTGCTGCCGCTGCGGCTCTTGCTGCAGCAGCTGTTGCTGCTGCTGTTTCCGTAGCTGCTCGGGTTGCTTGTGCTGCAGTTGATTCGCGCCGTGGAGAGTTGCTGCTACAAATATGAGCTGCTGCGGTTGCTGCTGCTGCTGCTGCGTGCCGAGCTGTATTTGCCTCGGAAACTCGCGTGCTCTCTGCTGCAGCTGCCGCTGCAACTGCGGCGCTGCGGCGCTGTTGGCTGCCCAGCGGCTGCTGCTGCAGCAGTTGTGCCTGCTGCTGCAGCAAGGCAGCAGCAAGAGCCTTCGCTGCTACTGCGCGGGAGGTTTGCTTCGTGCTGCAGCGCTTCACACACTGGGGCAGCAGCAGCGACGGCAGCAGCAGCAATAGAGCAAACTGCGCGCTTTGTCTCAAAATTGGGCAGAATTTGAATTTAAAAAGGAATTATTTTCTAATTTTTTGGAATTATTTTTGTTTTAATTACTTGTGGAGTGCAGCAGCTGGGGCTGCTGGTGATCTTGCAGCCGCGGCGCATGCGACCGCCGCTGAGGCCCTGCAGCAAGAAGAAGCGCAGCAAAGTTTTTGCCTTTTGTTTGCACACTGGTGGCTTAAATTAAGATATTTAATGCTTTTAATTGAGAATTTAGGTCCCAGGTTATGTGCTTTGCTGCCAACTTGCTGCGCTGAAGCCTGCAGCAGCCTGCAGCAGCAGGAGCTGCTTAGCTGCTGTTTCCCAGGAGCTGCTCGCGACCAGGTGCGTCGCAGCAAGCCCCCAGGCATCCCGAAGCAACAGCAGCAGCAGAAGCAGCAGCAGCTACAGCAACCGCGGCGACGCAGGCAGCAGCAGCAGCAGCAGCAGCAGATGCCTTTGTTCCTCCTTGACCATGGAGCCCCGGGGTGGCCCCTCAGGCTACTGCTCGTCAGCTGCTGTTGCTGACGCCGCAGCAGCACCAGCATCAGCAGCAGCAGCAGCAGCTTCAGCAGCGGCTGGCGAGCGGGAGGATGGGGAGCACCTAGTGCTGCTGCTGCAGCAGCAGCTCGAGTGCCTGTACACGAACCCGGACCCTCAGAAGAAGGCAGCAGCAAACAGCTGGCTGCTGCAGTTTCAGCGGTCTGCTGCTGCTTGGACTGTGGCGCGGCAGCTGCTGCTGCAGCAGGAGCAGCAGCTGCAGCTCGCGGGGGCGCAGACGCTGGCGTGGAAGATAGAGAATGAGGGTTTGCTGCTTCCGCAAGAGCACAAGGACGAGCTTTCTGCTGCTCTGTTTGCTGCTGTGATTCACATGCAAGAGCAGCAGCAGCAGCAGCAGCAGCACGAGCAGCAGCTCAGCTACGCGGTGGGGGGGCGGCTGGGCCACTGCCTGGCAGCGCTTGCCTTCCAGCGGATAGCGGACGTGCACCAGCAGCAGCAGCAGCAGCAGGAGCAGCAGCAGGGGGAGGAGGAGCAGCAGCAGCAGCAGTTTGAGGACCAGCAGCAGCAGCAGCAGCTGTGGGAGCCGGTGGCGCAGCTGATCTCGTTCGGGAGCCGGAGCCGAGCGGCGTCGCCGCTGTCGCCGGCGAGCAGCGTGAGCACCAGCAGCAGCAGCAGCAGCAGCACCAGCAGCAGCAGCAGCCTGGCCCTCGACTGGAGCCTCTGGGTCAGCTTAGCAGCACTTGCTGCTCTCCCCTCCATTTTGCGTTCTTTAGATATTCCCTCGAGGGGCCCCCGCAGGCACTTGGATGGGGCCCCCAGCCGAGCAGTTGCTGCTGCTCGTCCTGCAGTTTTGTCCTTCGGAACCAGCGTGCTGTCTGCTGCTGCAGCGGCGGTGGCGGCCAGCAGCAGCAGCAGCAGCAGCAGCAGCAGCAGCAGCGTGGAGGCGAAGTGCGGGGAGGCGGCGCTGGCGCTCCTGTCGGTGTGGCTCGAAGGCGCGGAAACAGCAGACATTCCCGTGGGAGATCTTTGCAGGTCTTTGGGAACTTCTTTAAATTCTTTTTTTCATGAAAGTTCTTTAACTGATTGTCTTGTTGCTGCTCTTCCGCGGCTGCCGGCGTTCATGGCTCTCTGGGGTGTACAGACAGCTCCGGGGGGCCTCGAGGCCTTCTGGGGGCGCCCCACAATGCCTGCGCACACTCCGGAGGGTTTGCTGCTGCAGCAGCTGCTGCTGAAGTTTCAGCAGCTCGCGCAGGACGTCGAGGACAACTTGCTGCTGCTGCAGCAGCAGCCGCGCAGCAGCAAGACCGCCGCGCTCATCCGCTGGTGCGGCGTGCTGCTGACGGTGATCGAGGGGCACCCGCAGCTGCTGCTGCTGCCTGCTGCTGCTGCAGCGGGCCGGCTGCTGCTGCTGCTGTGGCAGGCGAACCCCCTCACGTGGCTGCGGGTCTCCGCCTTCTGGGACCAAGTGAAGGAAATGCGGCGGGACGGGCTGCTGCAGCAGGAGCTGCTGCAGCAGCTTGCTGCTGCTGTTGCTCCCTGCTGCATCTCCGCGCTGCTGCGCCACAGCCGCCGCGACAGCTGCTGCTGGCAGTCCGAAGGAAATGAAGAATGGGTTTCTTTCATTGATGCTGCTGGAGATGTGCTGACGGACTTGTTGAGTTTGTACGAGGCGTGTGGGCAGCAGCAGCTGCTGCAGTTCCTGTCTTTCTTTGCTGCGCTGCTGCTGCAGGCAGTCGACAAGGCCGACGCATGCGCTGCGGAGAGTTTGCTGCTGCTCTGCGACGCCCTTATTGAAACCCTTAATGGCATCCCGCTGCCGCTTGCTGCTGTGCTGCTGTCGCTCGAGCGGCTGCCGCAGGAGCCCCGAGTTGCTGTTGCTGCTGCGCTGCTGCTGCGCAAAGTCACCATACATTTCACAGAAGACCCTGTCTATGACGGGCTGCAGTCGGGGCTGACTGCTTCGGTTTGCTGCTGCCACCCGCTGCTGTCAGCCCTCTGGGTGTCTTCTGTGAGGTCCATTGGCAGGTTGCTGCTGCTGCAGCCGCCGCTTGTTGCAGACACTTTGCTGCAGCTGGCCACTTGGGGCGGCCACCACCTCGGCTTTGCTGCTCTCGAGGACCTCCAGCTGCAGCAGCAGCAGCACCTCCCCACCGACTCCTCCCCGGAGGCCGTTGCAGCTGCTGCAGCCGCCGTTTCCAATGCAGCCGCTGCGGCTGCTGCTGCTGCTGCTGCTGCCGTTGCTGCTGCAACCGCAGACCCGGCCGTCATGGCGGAGAGGCGCCTGCAGCAGCTCCGCGAGTTCTACCGATTTGTTGCTGCTGCAGCCCCGCAGCAGCAGCCACAAGTAGATGGCACGCTGCATGCTGCAGTGATTAAGCTGCTGCAGAACTTCCCGCCCCTCGACATGATGTGTCTTGTTTGCGAGCTTCTGCAAGACACGGCGGAGGGCATCCGCAGCAGCAACAGCAGCAGCAGCAGCAGTAACAGCAGCAGGCGCCAGCAGGCAGCACGCCTCCTTGCGCGACTCGATTGCTGCGCTGCTGCCTTTTTTTCAGAGAAGGTTGAAGTGTCCAGGGGCCCCGCTGCAGCTGCTGCTGCTGCTGCTGCTGGCAGCAGCGACTCCAGCGCAGCAAGCGACTGCCTGTCGCTCTTGCTGCTGCGGTCGCCGAAGGAGCAGCAAGAGTTCCTTCAGAAGCACGGGTCTAGCTGCTCCCTGAAGCAGCAGCAGCAACAGCAGCAGCAGCAGCAGCAGCAAGGACAAGGCAACGACACTCCCTTGTGGGTCTATTTGCTTCAGCTTGTGCAAGATGTGCTGCTGCACTGCCCTGCAGCACCGCCGCGGGTGGGAGCTGGCAGAGACCGTTTGCCTTTTTCTTTGCTGCTGGACTTGAAGCCCCGAATGCCGCAGCTGCAGAAGCCCGAGAAGTACTACCAGCAACAGCAGCAGCAGCAGCAGGAGCAGCAAGACACGGAAACAGGAGGGGCTCTCTTTGTCCGGGCGCTGCGGTGTCTGCGGCTGCTGCTGGCTGTTCTGGGCTGCAGAGAAGATGCACAAGACATGTGGGGAGCTGTGATTTTGATTGTGGAATCGTGTCTTTCTTCTGCTGCTGCTGCAGTACAGCAGCAGCAGCAGGAGCCGAGCGTCGCAGCTGCTGTGGCGCTGCAGGGCTGCTGCATCGTGCTGCTGTCCGACTTGCTGAAGGTCACAGCAGCAAATGCGCAGCTGCAGGGTTTGGTGCGTCAGCGAATCTCACATGATGCTGCTGCTGCAGTTGAGCTGTATGTACACCTGAGCCCTCACCTCTCCCCGGACATGGCTGATGCGTACATCCCGCTGCTGGAGTTTCTGTCGGCCTTCGCGTCAGCTTCTGGGCAACAGCAGCAGCAGCAGCAGCAGCAACAGCAGCAGCAGCAGCAGCAGCAGCAAGGAGCAGCAGCAGCAGCAGGCGACAGCAGCTTTTTCAGCAGCCGAACATACGAACAGTCGCTCGTGCTGTGTGCGCACATTCTGCGGGGCGACGACGCAGAGGTGGCTAAGAGGTGTTTAAGTTACTTGTACGTTTGCTGCTGCTGCTGCCCGAAGGAAGAGCAGCACCAAACAGAGCAGCAGCTGCAGCAGCTGCTGCCAGCTATCCTCGGCTCTCTGGGCGTCTGGGGCATCGAGAGTCTGGCCGTGCTATGGAAGGTATTCGCGCAGTGGGGCGAGAGGTACAACAGCACTTTGCTGCTATGCGTTTCATCCTGGCTGAAGGAGCCCAGCAGCAGCAGCAGCAGCGGCAGCAGCAGCAGCAGCAGCGGCGGTGCAAGTAGCACCAGCTCTGGGGCCGCCGCAGGAGGCAGCAGCAAACGATCCCCTTTGCAGGAGTTGGATCCGGTGCAGCAGGAGCTGCTGCTGCACTGTCTTGAAGTGTTCAGAGGCCCTAGGGTGCGGCAGCTGCTGCAGGACATGTGTCTTCTTGCTGCTGGTGCTGCTTCTCCAGCGGATGCTTTTGTTGCTTATGAGTTCACTTTACATGACGCAGGCCTCACGAAGCACTTGACTGACACACAAGCAGCAGCAGGAACAGCTGCGAGGCCAATAGAGCTGTAGCAGCTGTTAAGGAAGCAGCAGCAGCTGCTAAGGAAACAGCTGCTGCTGCTGCTGCCTGCGCCAGCAGCAACAACTGACTCCTCGGGAGCAGTTGCGAAGTGGCTTTTTCACTTTGACAAACAGCTTGGAAGCAACAGCAGCAGGGGGTTGCTGCTGCTGCTGCTTCCCCTTTTAAAGGTGGTGTTGTGGGGTGTTGTGTCATATGTGGATTTTGCTGTTGTGGCTGGCTGCAGCAGCTACAGACGAAGCAGCTCCAGGGATGAGAAGCAGCAGCAGAAGCAGCAGCAAAACAGGCACTCTTTAATATACCCCAGGCTGGCACTAGACTAGCTGTGTGGCTGCCCCTGACATAGGAGCAGCTAGCTGGCTAATGTTAGGCCTCGTATAGGAGTAGCTAGCTAGCTAGCTAATGCTAAGCCTGATATGTGGGCAACTAGCTAGCTAATGATAGCCCTGGCATAGTAGCAACTAGCTAGCTAATGCTACGCCAGGTGTAATAGCAGCTAGCTAGCTGCTAGGCCTCGTATAGGAGCAGCTAGCTAGCTAGTGCTAGGCCTCGGCCTCGTATATGAGTAGCTAGCTAGCGAATGCTAAGCCTGGTATAGAAGCAGCTAGCTGGCGAATGCTAGGCCTCGTATAGGAGCAGCTAGCTAGCTAATGCTAGACGTCGTATAGGAGTAGCGAGCCAGTTAGTGATAGCCCTGGCATTGTAGCAGCTAGCTAGCTAATGCTAGGCCTAGTGTAAGAGCAGCTAGCTGGCTAGTGACAAATCTGATATGGGATCAGCTAGCTAGCTAATGCTACGCCTGGTAGGGGAGCAGCTAGTTCTCGTGTAGGAGCAGCTAGCTAGCTGATGCTAGGCCTCTTATAGTAGTAGCTAGCTGGCCAATGCTAGGCGCTGTATTGGAGTAGCTAGCTAGCTGATGCTAGGCGTTGTATAGAACTAGCTAGCTAGCTAATGCTAAGCCTGGTGTAGTAGCAGCTAGCTAGCTAGTAGTGCGGCGTCGAGTTCAAAACGGCATTGAGCCTCGTGCTGCTGCGAATAGCTGCAAATGAATTAGAATGGGCAGTTTGTGGTTTTCCCTAAAGATATTTAGTACTGGACTAGGATATACACGTTTGATCACGAGGAAGCAGGAGCAGCAGCAGCAGCAGCAGCAGCGCCAGCATTTGCGCTGAGGCAGCCCTTTGGCACGCCTTCGCTGCTGCTGAGCACCTGTCACACAGCACAAACGGAAAAGTGTTGTTTCTGCAGCTAATTGCTGTTGTTGGTCGCGCTGCTGTTGCTGCTGCTGTTGCTGCTGCTGCATCACTGCTGCTCAGGTGCTTTTCGCTAGCTGTTTCGGCTGGTCAGCTTAGCCACAGGGCACTCCCTACCTCTAAGCGATTGGTTGCAATTTGGCTAGCTAGCTAGCTAGCCAGCTAGCTAGTCAGCTAGCTGCGGGCCCCCAGCTTGCTAGGTACTACCACCAATACGAGTAACAGCGTCTTCTTCGAGTTGTTTGGAATCTGAGTAGCTTGTCCGCTCCGCCACCTCCTCCGCATGCTGCTGCAGCCGCTGCAGCTGCTGCAGCAGCTGCTGCAGCAGCCGCTGCAGCAGCAAGACTAGTCTTGCGTTGAATGGCGTGGCTGCTGCTGGTCGTTGGGGCCCCTGGTTTGCAGCGGCGGTCTACGGCGAGTTGCGGGGTCTGGCCTATCAGAGCTAGCTGTGTTGCTTCTTTGTTCGCGCTGCAACTGCTGCAGCCGCTCCCGCTGCTGCAGCCGCCGCCGGTAGCGCTCCGTTTGCTGCAGCTGCCTCAGCTGCTGCTCCAGCAGCTCTTTGCCCTGCAGCACTTGGCCATTTGCGGGCGCTCCGCGCAGCGGCAGCAGACTTGTGTGCTGCAGTATTCCTTGCCGGTGCTGTCGCAGCAGCAGCAGATTTGCTTCTTGCCGCTGCCGTAGGCAGCAGTAGCGGTGGCGCTGCTGCTGCGAATCCATCACAGCTTGCCACTGACGCTGCTGCTCAACCGTCATTGGACTCCTTTGCTGCTGCTGCTGCTGCTCATCCTGCGGCTGCGGCTGCGGCTGCAGCTGCTGCTGCTGCGGCTGCTGCTGCAGCTCCTGCTGCTCTTCCTCCTCCTCCTCCTCCTCTTCTTCTTCCTCCTCTTCCTCATCATCTTCATCTTCATCAGAGTCTGACTCTTCGCCGCTTGTATTTGAGTCCAGGTCTTCATCATCCTCTTGAGTTGAGGCTTCGCTTTCTTCTTCTTGCTGCAGCAGCTCTTCTTGCTGCAGCAGCTCTTCTTGCTGCAGCAGCTCTTCTTGATGCAGCAGCTCTTCTCGCCGCAGCAGCTCTCCTTGGTGCAGCAGCTCTTCTTGATGCAGCAGCTCTTCTTGCTGCAGCAGCACTTCTTGCCGCAGCAGCTCTTGCTGCTCCTGTTGGATCATTTGCTCTGTGGCCCCTAGCTGCTCTTGGCTCGGCGTCAGTGGCTCCTGCTCCTGCTGCTGCTGCTCCTGCTGCTCCTGCTGCTGCTCCTGATCGGACTCATCAGTATAATCGCGGCGGCTTATTTGGTTGAAGTCGAAATCTCCATCAGCATCGTGGCTGGAGGTATCGCTGTCTCCTTCTTCGTGCTGATGCAGAAGTTCCTCAGGCTGTTCTTCTTCTTGTTGCTGCTGCTGCTGCTCTTGCTGCTGCTGCTGCTCTTGCTGTTGCTGCTGCTCTTCCTGCTGCTGCTCTGCTGCTGCTTTTTTCTTTTTCTCTCCATTTTCGTCTTCAGAAAGAGGCATTTTGTAAAAGTCAAAGTCGCCATCAGCGTCATAACTTGAAGGTGCACTTTCATCTTCTTCTGGCCCTGCCTTTCGGCCTTCCCGCTGCTGTGCTTCAGCAGCAGCACGCTGCGGCCTGATGCTGCTGCTGCTGCTCTGCTGCAGCACGCAGCTGTCTTTTTGGAAGTCGCTGTCGTTGCTGGGCTCGCTAGATATGGACGCCTCGTCGTCTGACTCCTCTGCTTGCTGCTGCAGCAGCTGCTGCTGCTGCTGCTCCTGCTTGCCCAGAGTTTTGCGGCTTCTGCTTCTCCCTCGTTTTTGCAAAACTTCTTCGTCAGAGGGGGGCGAAATGACCCCAGACAAATCCTCAATATCGGGGCATGCAGTGGCGGCAGCAGCAGGTGGCAGATGGTTGCAGCTGCTGTTTTCGCTGACGCCGCTTTTGCTGCTGCTGCTGCTTCTCTGGTTATTCACGCTGCTGCTCTGAGCACATCCGCCGTTGTGCCCCGCCCCTGCTGCAGCAAAGTTTTTGGCTACTCTCGCAGCAGCTGCTGAGGCATCAGCAGCTGCAAGAGCAGCAGCTCTTAAAGCAGCTTCTGCTGCATGCACACCGTTTTTGCTGCGGTGCTGCTGCGCTTCTGGTGCCAACCCCATGCACGCTCTCAGCCCAGGTCCATTGCATTGCTGCGGGTGCTGCTGCAGCAAACCTTGTGGCTGCTGTCTCGGCAGTTGGTGCTGTGCCTGTTGCTGCTGCATCAGCAGCTGTCTTTCCCTTTGCTGTTCCAGCCATGTCGGGTAGAGGTGGCGTCGAGATTGCCGCTGGTGATGTTGTGGCTGCTGCTGCAGCTGCAGCTGCAGCTGCTGCTGCTCCTGCAGTTGCTGTTGCTGCTCCTGCAGTTGCTCCTGCTCCTGCAGTTGCTGCTGTTGCTGCTGCTGCTGTTGCTGCAGCTGCTGTTGCTGCTCCTGCTCCTGCAGTTGCTGCTGCTGCTGGTGCAGTTGTTGCTGCTGTTGTTGTTGCTGCAGTTGGCGCTGTTGCTGCTGCTGCTGTTGTTGTTGCTCCTGCTGCTGCTGCTGCTCCTGCTGCAGCTGCTGCTGCTGTAGGAGCTGCTGCTGTTGGTGGTCCTGCTGCAGCAGCAGCTGCTGCTGCCGCTCCTGCTCCAGCAGCTGCTGCTGTTGCTGCTCCTGCCGTAGCAGCTGCTGGCGTTGCTGCTCCTGCTGTAGCAGCTGCTGTTGTTGCTGCTCCTGCTGTAGCAGCTGCTGTTGTTGCTGCTCCTGCTGTAGCAGCTGCTGCTGTCGCTGCTGCAGCCGCAGCGCCTGCTCCTGCTGCTGCGTTTCAGCCCGCATGTTCGTCTGCGGCAACGGACCATGTAGCAGATCCATTAAGCACCGCATCGCTGAGTTATCTTCATGCGGTTGCTGCCTTTCTCGCTGCTGCTGCAGGTCCTGCCATTCCCGCTGCTGCTGCTGCTGGTACCCCTGCAGTTCTCGCCTTTGTGATTGACGCAGCTGCTGCTGTTCCTGCTGCTCCGGTTGCTGCGGTTTATCTCTTTGCTGCCCTATATAGTTATCAAGACATTGTCGCAGCAGTTGCTGCCCTGCGCCAAGTGTATCCCTCTCCTCGTGCATCTTTTGCTGCTGCTGCTGCAGTCTTTGTCCATTCAGCAAGTGCTTCATATGCTGCTCTTCTTGAAACTGCTGCTCCTGCTGCTGCTGCCTAAACAGCAGGTGTAACTGCTCATCAAGGTTTTGCCGTACCTGCTGAAGCTCCTGCTGCTGCTGCTGCTGTTCAATGCTCATGTTTACAACTGATGCATTAATTCTGCTGCTGCAGGGTTGCATCTGCAGCTGCTGAAGCTGCTGCTGCATGCTGTTAAGCTGCAGCTGCAGCAAATGCAAGCGCTGCTCCACGCTATGATGCTGATGCTGCAGCAGCTGGCAGTTGTAATTGTCGCACTTTGCTGCCGCTAGCTGATTTTCGGCCATCTGCGCATGGCGTGCTTGCTGCCGGTGTTGCTCCTGCTGCTGCTGCTGCTCCATCTGGGCTATCATGATTCGCTGCTTTTGCAGCAGTTCCCGCTGCATCTGGAGCTGCTGGCGCTGTTCTTCAACCACCTGCCTGAGCCTGTGGGCATCGTAAGATAGCGTAGCAGCTTCTGCTGCTGGTTCTGCTGCCAGATGTCCTGACCCAGCTGCTGCTGCTGCTGGTGCTGCTGCTGCTTCCTCAGTGAGGCAGCCAGCCACCAGGCGCCGCTGCACCTTGTAGTAAGTACACAGCTGCTGCACCAGCCCCAAAAGACTCACTCTTTTGAGGCAGCAGCTGCGGCAGAGTCCTCTTTGCTGGCTTGTGGCTCTGAGGCGTATGCATGCATCTAGCAGGATCTTCAGCCGGTACTGCTGCTGCCGCTGCAGCCGCATGCACAGTTTCCGCTGGAGCTGCCGCTGCTTCTGCTGCGCCTCTCGCTGCTGCAGCACCTGCTGCATCTGCTCGTGCAGCAGCTGCTGTCCCTGGTCGGTGCTGCTCTGAGAATCCCTAGAAACTGCAATTGTTGCTTGACTCGACGGGTGCTGCGGCGAGGCTTCCTCGCTTTGGTGGCCCTTCCGCTGCTCCTGCTGCTGCTGCTGCAGGTGCGGCTGTTGAGGTGCAGCAAGACACGCGGTGAAGGGCCCGCACGCTCTGGCCTTGCTGTCAGCAATAAAATCGGGAAAGCGGCTTCCTGGAGAAGGTGCATCTTCTCGGCCTTGCTCAGACCTTTGCAGTTGGCGGAATGCTTCTTGCTGCAGCTGCAGCTGCTGTTGCTGCATATGCTGCTGCTGCTGTTGCATCTGCTGCCGTTGCATATGCTGCTGCTGCATCTGTTGCTGCTGCATCTGTTGCTGCTGTTGCATCTGCATTTGCTGCTGTATCTGCTGCTGCATCTGCTGCTGCTGCTGCTGCAACGGCTGTTGGCCCTGCCTCTGATCAGCGGGCCCACCTTCGGTCAGCTCTTGGAGCATGAACTGCTCGACCAGCTCGTGCCAGTGCATGTCCTGTTGCTGCTGCTGCTGCTGCTGCTGCTGCGATTGCTGCTGATGCTGCTGTTCCTGCATTTCTTGGTATCCTTCCTCCCCGTCATCATCATAATTATATTCTAGAGGCCACGGGACTTGCGGTTTGTAAGCTGGCAGCCAATGGGGGTGCTGCGGCAGCCAGTGTGGCGGGAGCTCCCGCCGCCGCTGCCGAACTGGTGGTTGCTGCTGCTCGAGCCTTTGTGGCTGCTGCTGTTGCTGCGGCTGCTGCTGCTGCTGCTGGTGATGTTGATGCTGCTGCTGTCTCCGCAAAACGGGAGGAGCTGACGCCGCCATAGCTGGCATAAGCTGCTGCTGCGGAACAGCACATCCTCCTGGCAGCAATTGCTGCTGTTGCTGCTCCTGAGATTGGGGCTCCTGCTCCCTTTTGGGGGGTAGGAGCTGCTGCGGAGTTGCCCACTGTTGCCTCGCCGCCTGCTGCTGCTGCTGCAGCTGCTGGTTGTGATGCACTGGGTGAGCGTGCGTCCACAAGGGCTCCTGTGTCTGATCTCCCTGTTCATGCCCCACTCTCTCTTCTCGTTCTCGGCGCAGCACTGGCTGCTCGTGCTGTTGCTGTTGCCGTTGCTGCTGTTGCTGCTGCTGTTGCAGTGGCTGCAGTGGCTGTTGCGCAGGAGCTTCCCGAAAGCGCTGGGGGACCTCGATCAAGTCCAAAAGGTTGCAGGCGGCTGCTGTAGGCGCCCAGCGGCATCGATCTACCCCTCCATTAGCCCGCCGCAGCTGCTGCTGCTGCTGCAGCTGCTGCTGCTGCTGCATTCCGTCCATTTCCCTCCGCTGGCAGGGCTGCTGCGCTTGGGGCCCTGCTTCGGGGAGGGAAGCATTTGCTGGCCATAGCCCTTTAAGCAGCGGGGCGCCGAAGAAGGAGCACAGATCTGCATGAAGTCCCTCGAGCTGCTGGCGCAGCCTTTCCTGCTGCTGCTGCTGCTGCTGCTGCTCCCGCTGTTCCCTGAGGTGCTGCTCTTCGAGCCGGTTTTGCTGCTCCCTCATTCCCTCTTGAGCCCGCAGGTGGCGCTGCCTCTCGGGTATTCGGAGCTGCACACAAATGCACTCCTTAGTTTCATCTGCCCCGCAGACACACTCGAAGTCTTCGTCTGCAGCTGGGCCTGCGGCTTGCTGCTGCGGCTGCTGCTGCTGCTGTTGAAGCTCCTGCTGCTGAAGCTCCCGCTGCTGCTCTTGCACGGGACTGCTCCACTCCGCATTTGAATCTCGCCACAATGCAAGGATGCTCTCTTGAGGAGTTATCGGGCTTCCTGGAGGCATAGCATGGTGCTGCTGCTGTTGTTGATGCCTAGGCGTTTGGTGGCGCTGCTGCTGCTGTTGCTGCTGGTGATGGTGCTGGTGCTGCTGCGGCTGCGGCTGCAGAACCACCTGCTGCAGCACATGAGACGCTCTGCTCTCTTGCAGCTCGACTGGCGGAGCAGATTCGTGGAAGTGCCCTTGCCTCCATATGTCTCCGCAGTGCATTGTGCTGCTGCTGCTGCTGTTGGCGCCAAACCACGTTCTTGGTTCCGTCTTCTGCTGCTGCAGCTGTTCCTTCAAGCTACGCTGCACCTGCAATCTGTGCTGCAGCTGCAATCGATACTTCTCAGAAGTCGGGACAGGCTGGAATGGAGAGCAGCAGGAGCACATGGCGCCTCCATTTTCATGATGGTGCTGCAGCAGCTCAGCTTGCTGCAGCAGTTGCTGCCGTTGCTGCAGAGCCTGCTGCGATTGCTGCTGTCGCTGGAGGCACTGCTGCTGCAGCTGCTGTTGCTGCATGCATTGCTCTCTCATGCTTTGTTGCTGCATATTCTGCAGTAGCTCCTGCTCCTGTAGCATTTGCTGCTGGTGCTGAGCCGCCTGCTGCTCTTGAAAAAGCTGCTGCTCCTCCTGCTGCTGCTCCGGCTGCACTGGCTCTGGTCGAGGGCAGTTTTGCTCAGCAGGGGGGCGGCAGCTCACTGACTCGATCAGAGGCATGCTGAGACCCTGCAAGGGCTGCCTAGGCACTTGCAGCAGCAGCTGTGACAGTTGCTGCTGCTGCGTGTTCTCCTGCTGTTCCTCTGTCTGCAGCGGCTTCGGCTGCTGCAGCTGGTCCCACGCCCTCTGTGAGAGGGTTCTCAAGTATGAAAAAGACGGGCTTTCACTCAGGAGCATGTCATGCTGACTGTCGAAGTGCTGCTGCTGCTGCTGCTGCTGCTCTTGCTGCTGCTGTTGCTGCTCACTTGAGAGGAACGGAGACTGGCTGTGAAAGAAGCTGAGGCCGTTAAACGGCAGCTCGTGAGAATCTGACATTTTCAGTTTCACAAAAATGCCACCGCTGCTGCTGCTATTCCTTCTGCTGCGCGTTGGTTGCTGCTGGTCCGGAGGACAGCTCTGAGTGCCTCTGCGCCGTGAAGCTAGTCACGAGTTCACCGTGGGTTTGAAGCCAGCTTGCTTTCCTTGAACTTGCAACAGCTTCCGTTAAACTGCGAGTAGAGTCTACTTAAAGGGCTCTTGGCTTGCAAACTTGGTGCAAGGCCTCGTAAACGATGGTCGGCGGCTACCCGAGCGGCTGCAGGGTTGGCAGGAGGAGCAGGAAATTGTCAGCAGCGAACTTTCAGAGGCCCACTTCAGAAGGCAGATGAAACAATAGCAGGGCCTGGGTAATAAACAAGATGTGCTTGCGGAGGTTCCTGCTACAATTGCGTTTCGGAAACTACTGCTGACGGAAATGGCTACCGCCGACCGTGGCGGCTGCAGTGCTGCTTGCCCTCGTGTCAGCGTGGAGACTCCCTTTCTTGGGCTGCGTAATATTGTATAAACACAAGTAAAAGGAAGAAAAGATGAAAAGGGACTTCTTCGGACTCACTATGGCCGTGGACAGCGGCTGCTGCCACCAGGCGCTCGTCAAACCACCGACTTTGGCTGCGCGGTGGGCGGTAAGCGCGGGGCGGGGTCTTCAACTTGAGTTTGTCTGTTCAGTTTTCGATGTTCAACGGCGAAAAAATATCACACAAAAGAAAAAGAAAGCTTTTCGGATACCAACATACAGAGAAGGAGTGGGTGATTGTGCGTGTTCACAACAGCAGCCATAGAGCATCGGCTCGGGCGATGTAACGTGCACTGCTGCTGTAACTAGAGGTAGAGGCGCGGCCAGTCTTCTCGTGGTTCAGATTCTGGAATTCCTTTAAAGGAAATCTAGTAGAAAACACCAAACTATAAACTTTAAAAAGGACAAATCTTGTGGTGTAACTGCAACAGCCTGCGACTGAGCGAGCCCGACCGCCTAGCCGTCGGCTGCGGCTGGCACCTACTAAGGCCAGCCAGCCGCGCCGGGCTGGAGCACGGCGCCTTTTCGATTCTTCGCAAAAAAGCGAGATATGACTTAAAAAGCTGTGTAGGCAGGTTGATTGTTTACTCTTATTTCTAGGAAAAATAAAATACGCAGAAGAATGTGTACGCGAATGAGTAAGTTTGCCCTCTGCCCCCCACTACACTACAGGGACCTCGCCACAGGGTGAAGCTTGAGCTCGGTTGCGGTTGCTACGCTGTCTTCCACGCTAATTCAACCTGAGACAGTCTCATAAAGCACTTTAGCATTATTTTGTTTGCATTTTAGCTTTCAATGCAGTCCAAATCGATCAGTTTTAGCGGTCCGTCTCCGCATGAGCAGCGGGTCCCTGTAGTGCGCTAGCGGACTCACTGCCGCCAGTGGGTACAGACCTGACAGCTTCTCTGCTGCGTGTATCCGGACAAATCAAAGAAAAACTCCTTAATTTCACATAAATAGCCTCAAAAGTCCTCTGATCCACGGAAAGGAGGCCATAAAGATCCAGCCCCCCAGCTTTGCCCCCTAAGGTGGGTCGGCGACTTGGCCAGCCCGAAGACGCTGATGGGAAGTTGGCTTTCGTAGTCCGTTGGCCCGATTTTGCCTAATTTATCTCATAATTTGTTAATGATATTATATTATATCGTGTTCTTTCCACGGAATAGGCCGCTATAGGGACAATAGGGGAACCGTTGTAATGCCCGCGCATTACAGTTCCCCTGCAGAGACAGGAGCGTTAAGTCTTAGAAAGCAGCTCCGGTGGCTGTAGCTTCAAAGGCTGCAGCAGAATCAAGAACTCGATTTATGTGCATTTCGGTACTGCTTTTCTAACGCGGAGGACAGAAATATAACATGGAGGAGGCAGCACAAAAGGCCATGGCTGCCTTCGCCGAAGGCAACGCCGAGACAGCACAGCAAATTTTGGGTTCTCTGGACTCTCCTCCAGTCCAATTTGCCCTACAGAGAACAAGGGAACTTGGAAATGAAGCTTTCAGGTCTTAACCGTTAACGTTTATTACCTAATCCCTAATTCCAAATCCCCGTTCGCTCCATCCCAGCGCCTCGATCGGGACTCAGAACCCCTCAGCATCAACAACAAATCATGAACTCCCCGAAGAAGTAATATAATTCCCTGGATGCTTTAGGCAGTGGGATTTCAACTGGCTGTGTGTGCGCGGTTCAGGGCTGGCAACTATTCATTAGCTCTGCAGCACTACAGAGACGCCATTGTTGCACTCAAACAGCTCATGCCTTCTCCCGAAAAGGCCAAAACCGCGCAGCAGCAGCAAAATACATGGCGCGAACAACTGCAGCAGCTCCACTCCAACTGCAGCGCCTGTTATGCTGCTCTCAGCAACTACGAAGAGGCTCTCAGGGCCGCCCGAGATTGCATTAAGCTCAACCCGAAGTGGACAAAGGTGCAAAAATTACCTTCTTCCACTGTTTCTGTTTCAGCTGCTGAGCCTCAGCCAATGCATTTTGTGTTTTGTCCATTGGCTCTGTCGCTGTGAGCGTCCTTGAATCCACCTAGGGGTTTCTACTGAAGGATCACGAGGCAGCTGAAACTCTTCTCCCAAGGATCTGTTTTCTCTTTTCCGATTTGAATTGTTTCCATTTCTGTGGCTTTCTTTCTACGTCATGAAGTGAAAAGCATGGGTGAGGTATCTTCGCTTTGTGAGTCCTCCACAGGGCTGGTACAGAGCAGGGAAGGCCCTATATGTCAAGGAAGACTTCGAAGGTGCCCTCAAGACATTTATGCATGCACAGCGGCTGCAGCCAGGAGACAAAGAATTGGCGAGCTGGACAGAAAAAAGCAAAGAGCAGCTGCAGCGACAGAGGAGATGCATGCGTTTTAGTGTAGACTACAGCAGATTCCAGGATGTGGATCTGGGAGATGATGATGAGGCACTGTCAGTGAATAGTTTACTCCCTGTTGTTGTCTTCTTTTCCACAGATTCTGCTGCGTTTGCTTCTCCTAGCGCAGCCATTGCCTGTCGGTGTTTGTGTAGTTGCTGTTGCTCTTGGTTTTCCCGTTGGTCTGCTGCTGCTGCCTCTAGAGTAACTGCCTCGGGCCTTTTGACTGATTGTTGCTCATGGCGTCATTGGTGTGGCTGCTGGTAGCCTTTGCTGTAGCGGGACTTGCTGCTGCAGCGTATATGCATGCAGGGAGGCGGCAGCTTCTGCAGCAGTTGGTGGGATCGGCGGCAATGTCCTCGAGTTTTCCCCAAAACTTTCGGAGGAACAGCGCCACCACATTGAGGCCCTACTGACAGGTGTAGCTTCTTCATTATCGTTGCCGTTGCGGCATACTTTGCCGCTACTGTCGCTGCTGCTGCAATAATGAAACTGTTGTAGTGAGGTTTGTGCTCCAGCTTGACAGTAGCTGTAAGCGTGGACATAGCAAGGGTGTTCTAGGAATTTGAAAAATGCATTTGTGCAACTCCATAAAGGGTGTTTCCCGAAACACCGGCGGCAACGCAGGAAACAATCATTGGTGCCGCTGCTACAGTGAAAGGCAAGCATTTAAGCAGCTGTTTATGCTGCAGGAAGTGGTGCTGGGTCTGTAAGTAAGCGGACCAGCAATTTATCAAAGCTTTTACATTTTGACCCCGCAAAAAACGCTGCTGAGCCACCGCAGGACTTTTCCGTTGTATATGAACAACTGAGTGCTGCACCTGCGTCGCCTGAGAAGAAGCAGCAGCGACTAGCTGCTCAAGCTGGCGTGGCTTTTTCCAAGTACCTCCAGGAAAGTTTTTCTCTCTGGCAGTTTCTTCCGTTTACCTGACTAATTACTTCTGAATTGTCAAACAGATTTCTTCAATCCTCTGTTTGCATGTGTTTCCATGGATTCCCCCCGTGGATCCTTCTTTGCCCTTTTGTGCGCCTTTATTTCCACCTCCACCTGCCGTTTTTTTATTTCCTTCTCATATTCTCTATCCATTTGTTGCTGGCTTGACAGAGAGTGGCCCTTGTTCAGAATATTTTGGAGCGCCTCCCAGGGTGGAAAATCAATTTTTTCAAAAAGATTGGCCTTTTATCTCCAGCAAAAGTTCTTCAAGTGACTACTTCCTTGATTGACGAGTAATGTAATTGCTGTCCGTGACCCAGCTGTACGATTGTCGCTGTTGCTATTCATATGCTGCTGCAGATGGGGACAGACCTCCGTGAAAGCCAGCGCTGCCGCAAGTCTGCGAATTGTCCACTGTCCAAGGCTTTTCGCTCTAGTGTGATGAGAGCAATCAGGCACACGCTGCGCCGTGGAGCCAACAGCACGAACCGCACGAATAGTAGTAGCAACAGCAGCTGCTCCACTAGCTCCTGCAAAAAAAGCAACGGGCTCAGCGTTGACCATCAAGACACCGTCTCCAACGGGCACCATCATGTCGACCTAGAACAGAAGCGGCAGAAGGAGCACTGTTTGTTTTTGGGCGTGGGTGACTGCGTGACTTTGCTTGAAGTTGCTCAGCTTAATGCTGAGGAGCAGCGACGAAGCGGAGAAGCGCATATCCCACTAAGCTTAACAGCAGTTCCTCTCTATTCCTCTCCTGCTCTGAGTAAGCCCTGCATTGTGGGCGCGCTTTCTGCCTGTAGGAAAGAAACTGCCTGCATCTGGACACACAACACCTCTGGCACATCTTAATCCTGAATTTTTTTGGCTGGGGCATTAAGTTTTCTTCCACGCTTCAGGACTTGGGTATATTGCTTGGGGCTAAACATTTTGGGTTTCCGTGGTGATGTGAGGGCTGCAGTGGCGACATATGCCTCATTGTTAAGAGCTAGAAAGGCATCGGAGGCCATACGCTTCTTGCCTTTGAGCCCGTACCTTGTGCAGCTGCAACAGCGGCAGCAGCAAGAGATGGAACAAGAGCAGCTGCAGCAACAACAGCAAGAGGGGCGGCAACAACAGCTGCAGGGGCCAGCGGAAACCGTGACATGCAGCGAGCTGACAGAAACGGCAGATTCTGCTGCTGCAACTGCAGAGAAGCTAGAGCACAGCTACACCAGCAGCAGCAAGAGTAGCAGGAAGCAAATGCCGTTGATAGTACAGCAGCCCTTTGACTGCCTTGTCATGGACCCACTGCTGTTTGAGGTCGGTGTTCTAGGGAGGCAACTGATACCTCTGGCGCGCCATGCACGTACACTTTGCATCCCTCAGCCGCTGGTAGTTCCCTCCAGGTAAGGGCGTTCCTGGGTGTCCATTATAAGCACACCACCTCACATTCCTTAGCTGCCGGGTGCTTCAATTGGATTCTATCCCAGTATTGTTTCTTCTAAGGTAGAGATGATGCTTACGGATGGGAATTGTTTGTCTATGCCAAATAGTTCTGTTTCGGAAGTTCATGGAAAACCATGCCGAATCGAGAACCAACGATCTCCCCAGTCTCCCGAAGCTTGACTCCAAATCTACACTCTTCAGAGCTTAAGATCTAAGATTTACAGTCTGCGTGTTTTATCTGAAGCATTAAAATTTGGATCCAAGCTTTTGAAGTTCGGCTTCCAGCAATCAAGCCTCTCAACGCCCTTCCTGACATAGTAAAAGGGAAGGGCCAAGAAGGGGTAGCAGCCGGTCAGTCAAATCGATTCGACTTGTCTCCTCTTGAAGCCGGAGCACGGTGGACGGCCCACGTGGAGCCTGTTGCTTTGCAGCTGTGTCCAAGTGAGGCAGAAGAGGCTGCCATGGCAACCGCAACAGCAGAAACGGGCAGTGACGCTTCGTCCGCATGCACTTACGGAGATATTTGTACACCGCGGACAAAGGCCAAGGCGGTGCTTTTCCTTCGTTTTGACGGTCCTTTGGAGAACCTGGATAAGGTGATAGCCGAAGGCCATTGTGTAGTGTTCGTTTTGCTATTTCTGCTGCTGTTGGTATCGGTTCTCAGCAGTACCTGTTTCGAAACGCTCCTCCACGCGGGCACGTTACGTGCGAAGAAGCCAACTTGAATCTCTGGGTGAATCTGCTGATATTGCTGCCAGGACTTGCCGTTGCATCAGTCGACGAAGGTCTTTCTTGAGAGCAACTCTCACCCTGGCATTGTGAATTCATTCGCTGTTTGGATGGAGTTTTTCGAGAGGCAAGCAGAGCCAACAGAGGAAATGTCTGGGTGTGATGAGAGCCACTCACCCGAGAAACTCTTTTTCTCCACAGCTCACCATGAGGCAGGACAGCACAGCAGCTTCAACGCAGCATCAGCTGCAGAGGGAAGGCACTATGGAATTCGGCACGTGAAGCAGGGCCTGTTCTGGGTCCCCACAGTATGGGTGGGAGCGAATGAGGGCCTCACAGTGCAGGTGGCGCACTCACCGACAAAGCTCTCCCTCAGGTGCTGTTTTCACACTGCAGCGACAATTGTTGAAACATAAGAACTCACCGTCAAACGGTACTTCTGAGCCTCAGTTCTCAACCTGCCAGCCCTAGGCCCCTCAATGGAATAGTCTTGCTTTCCTCGAGCGTGTCGATGCGACACAGAATTCTGGAGGTCCTAGGTGGTCCCAGGGGATCCGTAGCCATTCCGGCCAACCGACCTTCCCCGGCGTGTGAGCAGCGAGCAGCAGTCCTTTCCTATCAGCTGGACATCGCACGAGATCCCGTTTTGACACGATGTAAGTGCTTTCAGCCAAGATATAAAATAGGCAGGAGCTCATTCTGCATGTTCTCTTTTGTAATTGCGGCTTCAGGTCGTGGCCGTGTGTACTCATAGCAAACATGCGCACTTATTGTTGCCCCACTATCATCTATTTCTGTCCTCTGCTTCCTGACGCTGCGTGGATAGACATTTCTGTCTCTCGTGAACCCAAAAGGGCTTTGAGACTGAATAACACTTGCTCTAGACTTCTGGATGCGATGTTTTGAGTGCAGTGCTGCAAGAGGCACTTCTGCAGCAAGTGCAAGGCCAGATATTGAGCTTTGAAAAGTCAGTAAAGAGAAAACTGCTCCTGCAGAGGGCCAAGACAAGCAACTGTGGGCCCCACGGGGGCTCGCCTGAAGGGCCTCAGCAACAATTGGCAAAGGCTGTGCGCGCGTCACTTCCGATTTCGATTTTGTGCGGCGGTTGCTGCGTGCTTCTGCCCCTGCTTTCTCTCGAGGCAGCAGTTTATGCATTTCAAAGCTCCTCCGAGATGCGGGATGTGCGAGACTGTGGGGCATTAATGCCTATAAGAGTGTTTGCAGCTGAACCGCTTAGTGGGGCATATGCAATAACCCAAAAGCTGCTGGCCGTGAACGCCGAGGTGTGTTCTATATTGCAGAGATATTTGGGCTTGAGCCTAGGCCATCTATCTTGACACGATTCGTTAGACTGTCGCCCTGCCGGCCTGTAGCTCGAACTATCAATGATGGTGCACTAATCACTTTTGTTCTGCACTTCTTTGTGTCCTAAACTATTCTGGTTGTATGTCCTTCTTTTGTGGGCCCATGCTTACTCAATGCAAAGCGTACTGGCTGTCAGTGTGGATTTATCCAATGCGTGTGGCGCAGAATACGTTTAGTCACCCCAGACAAAAAAACACGCAGCCAGCCGGAGAAGCCCTAGGTGGCTGGCGCCCAGTCAAAGAGCTCTCAGAAAGTATCAAAACGGCCGCAGCAACGCTCCACAAGCAGCAAACGCAAAGCGTTGAAGTTCCTCCAAAAGAATCCAAGGCCACTGGGGCTTCACTGCAGCACAGAGCGAAACTAAAGGACACGACAAAGGTGATACAGACGAGTATCTTCTCTTTGCTTCCACCAGAAGGTACAAGGCGCCTAACGCTTTTTCGCCTGAAGTCAAACACGGGACACGAGAGGAACACAATAATGGAAGAGCAAAACCAAGGCTTGCGATAGAGCGATCAGGTCATGTGCATTCATAATGCTGCTCAGCAAGATGTTGCGCGGTGTTCAACTGGTGCTGTTGCTGCTGCTGCTGCTGCTACAGATGCCGAAGATAGTACCGCTCTTCTTGCCATTGCAGAGGCGCACCGGATGAAGCCGGGAGAGGATATTAAGCAGCAGCTGCAGGTGGCGCTGCAGCAGCAAGATCATATTGGCGGCACTCCAGGGGCTCTGTCTAGGCTTGAGCATCCTGCCACATTGCTTGCCTCCCTTGGTCTTGATAACGCTGGAGTTGGAGGAGGAATTTACGCTCTTTCTAAATACGTCTCGCGGGTAAGGCGACGTCTGCGTGTGAAAAATGAGACAATGGTGCAGAAAGAACGCATGCGGCACATCCATCTTGGAGAAACTTGCGGACTCACGACCACATAGACAAGAGACAATTTTAATAGAAACTGAACTGGCAGAAAAGATACATGCAGACGCATGAGCCAGGAAAGGCTATATGTGCCTCGAAGCACTCTTGCTGGCATACAGCTGAAGGAAAGTCAGACAGTCCACCACGTAGAAGCAACTGCACTGTGTGAACAGATCAACACAGGTGCCCATGGCATCCAGAGCCTTGCAATGCATCTGCTGCTGTTCCAGGTGTGCCGGCTCATGCTGCATTTGGCTTGGTTTAGGCCCTTCTCAGGAGAAGGAACTCCAGCATGCTTCTGTCGGGAGTGCGGGTAATGGCCGCGCTGCTGCAACTTGGCGTGCAGCCTGAAGGAGATAACGCTGCAACGGAAACAGCGGCGGCGAGAGTGTGGCATGCTGCAGCTGCTGCTGCAACAGCTGAGGAAGGAACTTACTATGAAGTGTCCCTTGATGAGGAAGACTTTTTGCTTTTAAGCGACCCTGTAAATATTTGGAGTGCAAACTGTAGTAAGCACATGCCAGAATTGTGTGACTTTGCTTTAGGCGAGTATCTTACTTGATTTAATTTGTTATGCAACTTCTGCATCCGCTCAAGAGCATGTGCAGCTTCTTATGAGACTGCTCTGGGGAATACCGTTGTTGTTGACTTCTTGCCGCTGTTGCTGTAAAGCTCCTGTGCTGCTGCCTGCTACTGCGATTCAGACTCACCCAGGGCACGGCCCTTGTGCCGTTGCATGGTCTGAAAAAAAGCTGCGATCTTCCAATACAGTAAAACGGACAAGAAACTGTTGGTACTGCTGCAGGTCCGGAGACACTGGCAAGCCTCAAGAATAGAGGCTGCCGAAAAGCCGACGATCCCGTCATTTTCAAAGCCCAACGCAGCGGCATTATCAATGCCCTCGGGATATGGTTTGAGTTTGACATGGGAAGATACACGGTGTCCACCCAGCCCCTTTCCATGAGGAAGATACTGGAGCAGCAGCAGCAGCAGCAGGAGCCTGGAGGAGCAGTGACTGGCGACGCAACTGCTGGCAGTAGAGCGACTGTGCATTACACACAAGCCTGGAAGCAGGCAATGGTTTACTTCCCTCCCCAGCCAGTGGGTCTTTAGAGCCAGCCCAAAAGGGGGGAATTATGGGGGAACACGTTTTTGCTTCTGCACCTGCTGTTGCCGTTTCTAGTGTTCTGTCTAGTGCTGCTCTCCCCAGGCGTAGGTGCACCAGTTTAAGTGAATCACTTAACGGCAAAATACCAAATCTCCCTTCTTCTGTCCACATAATTTAAGTGTGCGCCTGCATACTGCGCAAATTGTTAGATAGGCCCTGTTATCCAGGTGTGTTGAGCCGCCTGCCACATTACCGTGGGTCTTACTTTTGTTGTGCTCTAATGAGCAGTTACGGGAGCTGCGCTCTGTGCGGCTATTAATGATGCCGCATAAACTGCAGTCGGAGAAGCTATGGGTGCTGCAATAGTTACGCATGCTTTTTTCGTGCAGGTGTCGCGCGGGGAGACCATTCCCGTTAGTCTGCAAGCAACTGAAACCAAGCTGAAAGCATTCTTGAGTCCTTGCAACAAAGCAAAGGAACAGAACGAAACTACAGAAAATAAAGAGTAGGCACTGCTAGACTGCATGCGACACTATTAGGAAACGCCGTGCTACTTTTGTTGCTTCGCTGCTTCCCACCACTACCTGCACCGGTGCTCCTCGCTACACGACAAGTCATTGGTGCTGCTGGTGTTGCTGCGGTTACTCTTGTAGGTATGAAAACCGCATGCATTCGTTGTGGAAATCTCTTCGTGAGGCGCACAGGGAGGCGTCTGAGGCCTGGGTTCAATTACTTTACTCCCCGACCGACTCCGCAGCAACAACAGCTGCTTCACGTCCCCAGCCCGCACAGGTACAAACAGCCAACCGTTCGAGCAACCACACTGGCTCAGTAGTTTTTGAGTATGTAGTAAGCTCAGCAGTGGCACTTCTGCCACTTTGACTTGTTAAAGACTGAACTGTATAATGCTTGCTGAACATAACCCTTTGGGATGTCAATCGACGTGACTTTTGCTCAGCAGCATTTTTTCTTCAAATATATGCTGTATTGAGAGTAACTCAAGTCCGTTGAACATTTGCGCAGCTGCCTTTCTTTCGACACAACACCTCGAAGTCTTCTTCTCTGCCTCCTACTGTTCGAATCTCTGTCCCTTCCTGCTCTTGCCTGTCTCTCAGTCTCCGTTTCGCATTATTTTGTTGCCCCTTTCTCTATTAGATTACTTGTTTGTGGGTGATTCACTGAGTCGCTTCACTTTTTGTGCGTTATTGTGCTCCACTCTGTCCCCTCAGATCGTTGCTACAGTCACAGAACTTGGTTGCTGGGCCGGCGAGCAGCGAAGCTTCTTTCTGGATCCTGGGGACGCCGCAGATGTACTTCGGGCACTGTTCTTCTGAGTAATAAGCGTTACTTTCTAAACACTATAAAAAATAAACCCTCAACTTAAACACACTACTAATGCTTCTGGTGCCTTCCTGTACTTGAATTGCTCCTTTAAATTTGCACCTTTCTCAACCTTTACAGTGTTGGCAAACTAAGCCCCAAACCCTCGCTCGTGAAGCACGCATAAGTGGCGAAAAACGAAATTAGGCATGCCCTCAAGGGCACGGCCAAACCATTGGTAGCCACACAGCTAGTAAAAGCCGGCTTCTATTATGCTGCGGCACGCCAAGCAGCAAGAATCGGCCAAGTTACCGGTTGCTGGTCCGTTCCCAGCTGTCTGGAATTCACGCTACACCTGTCGTAACGTCGCTCCCATGTTGCATACACTGCAATGGCTCCTAAAAGTGCTGCAGTGGACCCCAGAACAAAAGGTAATGCACAAACGACGTTAGCGGGGTCTTCTGCGGCTCCCTGCCTGTACAGTTGTCCACCCATCCGCTTCCGAAGGGTGTGCTGGCTGTAGTTCACTTGCTGCTCCTGCTGTTTGACGGGAGCGTGTTTGTGAAGCTGGGAGCGAATACCGCAAACGCACGAAACTTCACACCGTTTCGGACATCACTGCTGCGTATCAGCCACCACAAAACATTAAAAATAGTTGCATGCCTAGATCCTAGAAGCTTGAGAGGCTCTGAGCACTTTTAAAAATGCGTACCGATGCCTTCGCTTGGACTGGGGGCGATCTCCACGGATGATATGAGGTCTTCTAGTTCCCCTTCCGCGTCGCTGCCCTCACTCATGCTACAGTCAGCTAAAGAAATCAACACAAGCAGCAGAAAAAAAGTCACGCACATGTAGACAGACGCATGAACCGATTGGTACGGCAGCAGAACCCGCGTCAGCAGCGCCACATTCCCGTGAAGCTGCCCGGAGAAACGCTAGATGTAGGACTCCAAACTACTGTGCACGGCGTGCTTTTTCGCCCGGAAAGCACAGGCATTGTTTCCTGTTTGGATAGCACGCAAATTGTATGACTGAAGCGGCAGAAATAGTGGAAGAACCAATGCATGCATGCAGCACCAGCTGGCGCTGCGTGTAGGTGCTGGTGCTCTCACTTTCAGCTTCACGAGCGTTCCCACACTGAGATTTTGCGCTTGAAGTCGCGCGCTGATTCTGCTGCTGCTTCACTACGGAAGCTAAGTCGAAGCAACCCCGGCTGATCTGCTCATGCAAATCTACCAACAGCTGAGCCACCTCCAACTGCGCACAGGACACGAACACAGTGGCAACAGCACGGCCGTCTGCAGGCTAGTAGTGCATCCAACAAAAACAATTTCGTCTGCTGTTTGGTTCTGGCCCTTACAACTCGATCTTTGAAGCAAAGGCTTAGTACTGGGTAACTGTGAACTACTCTCTGAGTCCCTCACGTCGCTGTCGTCTTCAACTGAGACCGAAAAATCGCTTGCGAGCCTCTCTGAAAGCGTGCATGCCAAATCCTCCACGTCAACGTTTTTGTCTGCACAACTCCAGCTCAGCTACAGTCTCATAGTCCCCACGCAACTGCTGTTTTCGCTGCTGCGAGCAACAGAGCATTACGGCGCGAGCTTGAGCAGTCGGGTTTTGTGATATCTCACTCTCGCGAAACTCAGCAATGAGGTCTTCATACAGTTTCTGCCGCTTTCGATGTGAATCCCTTCCACCCCATCCTTGCTCAACGGCTAAGTTGAGGAGTGTCCTGCAGCCCGAACGGCAACAGTAAGGAGACAGAGGCCGTTGCCGTTGGGCATTTGAAGCTGTGTATCTTGGGACGCGTCATATATTAAGTTGCAGATTGTGTATTTAGCAGTGATTGACGTAAGGGCCAGGCACTACCTATGCTCACCATTGCGCCAGGACCGCCGAAACAGCCTCCCTGAAAATTGGCTCCGCCTCCTGGCGCCGCTGATGCATTTTCTGGTGCTGTTGGGGCCTATTTTGGGTTTATGTGCAGCAAAGAAAATCTGAACGGCGGGAAATGCAAAAGAAAGGCGGAATTGTCACCGATCTCTGCCGATGCTTGTGGAGCATTGGAGAGGTCGATATACGTCGCCACTCCTCGGGCCGCCAACGGACTCTGCAGTTAGCGCTGGTTACAATGTAATTCACACAAAGAAGCGAAGGTTTTCAAAAAGAAGGCCAAAGCTCAGCAACGATGAGTTAAGAGGAACATGTGGCGTGGGGAGGCTGCGGAGTGTCGAGTAAGTAGCACGAAACAGATTCTAGGAACTTCTAAAGTATGCTTTTTTTTAACATCTCGGGGAATAATTAACATTTGAAGGATTAGGAGTTAAAAGGAGCACTGAAGAGTAATACTGTTGCATGCGTTGGGCCCCACAGGAACTGGACCGCCGCCGACACTTCGAAGGTGCTGCAGACCTTGTTCCCAAGAAGTCAAGCGGAAGAAAGCTGTACCTAAATATTCTTCAAAAATGCGAGCTTTAAAATTACTCTCAGTATTGCTTCTCAAGGGAGCCCAATGCTTGTTTACGCAGAAGCCGACTGTTCTATACTAAGTGTTTCAGAGCAGCGATAATGCTGGCCAGGGCCAAGGGACGGCAAAAGTTTTATTCTACTCATCTTATCAAGCGCGTTAGTTTTGCAGGGCTGGCGCAAACCTATGCAGACGACTTCAAGGCCCGATGGCACAGGGGCTGCGCACCTTCCAGCATTCCCGAAAGGTGGGAAGACAAGACAGTACAAAGAGAGAGGCTGTCACGAATTTCGCATGCGTCATCACTCGAAATTGCTCTGGAAAGTTAGTTTAGAGGGGTACATACCTAAATGGTAAACATAGAAACACTGCGCTCTTGCGAGAATTTAGACAGCCGCTTCACGCCACACAGTTCAGACTACGCGCCTCAAGCATCCATCAAAAGCTATCTTTATCCGTGAAAAGCATTCTGAACGTTGGGCCAGATCAGAATTGCATGGCATTCTGGAACATGACAGCCACCGCAAGCCACAGGGTTGGGCGTGCCTGTGTTTGTGTCAAACTGGTGAGTCGTTGCCATTTGTTGGTCCATAGTTTAGATTCACTACGATCTTTGAGAAGACTCGCTTTAGACATCCGCAGCTACACATGGAGGCTCCATTATGCTACAACAGAATGCGTGCAAGACCGACGCTCCCACGCAAGTCCATCACCTCAATTTTTTAGGAACGTCTCTTGGGCCGGTGTTCTAATAAATGGCTGTTTAGATTGTTTAACGCGCCGTTTAGTCCATCGAAACATTGCGTGGACCTTCGTCGAGCTAGGCGGCCGCGATAAAATAGCGGCAATGACTGCTTGTGCTACCGAAAAAGAACTAGAACTGGGCTCATCATGCCCTCGCAGGCCTGAGGCTATGGGTACCTTGTAGAAAACGCGCTGCAATCCGGCGTTTTATACAGAAAGAAAGGGTTACCTAGAACTCAATCACTGGGTTAGCAAGTGAAGAAGCTGCAGTGCACTATGAACTCCCCGTCTTTCTATGTGGTACACACCATGCTCGCAGGTCTCACGTCTCCAAAAAAGCACGCAAGCGGCTAAAACTCTTGCTGTTTAACGGGTAAACTGGCGGGCGTGCAACTCTGCGTTGCTAGAGCATAAATGCCGTGGTCATGAGGCGACTCTGCTTGTTCTCCAGATTCGCTTTGAGCTCCTTCAGATTTTCAAGGCCTGCATCTCGTTCTTCAGCTTCTAGTGTCTCTCTGTGTGCATGATGAAGCCCCACAGCAGCATAACCCACTTCCTGCTTCCGCCTTTGTATACGCTGCCGGAGTTGCTGCTCTTCGCCTTCTTCTGGAGACTCCGACGCTTCTGCGACTAGTTTCGCTTCCAACCTTTCTTCAAGCGCAAATTCTGACTCAAGACCGAATCCACTTTCCGAAGCGACATAAATTTGATGCTGGCGTACGATTGCCAAAGCCATCTGAAGAAGGTGTGGGTGTTTGACAGTCCCTTAGGCACAAAAGTGGGCAGGATCGACGAGAATTTGAGCCATTGCTTCCAGAGAGAAGTAGCGCATTGCAAGAAACTAGCAGCATGAGTTGCAGTTTAGGATGCTAGTAAATCATCTTAGCATTCATCTTCGGGTGTTTTCGCCTTATTTTTTTGGCAGGAACAGTGCTTGCGCGAACTTCTTACCAGCCCAGTTGTAGTACATGTGGCACATCTTGTACGAAAGAATAGCAAGGTATTGTTTTGACCAATCACTTTCGTCTGAAAGCCCACAGAAAAGAAGCCAAGCACCCCAGTTGGCCTCACACAGTTTGGCTTGCAGTAAGCCCTTCCAGCAGTTGCCACGCATCGTTCCTCTCCAGGCTCCTGTCAACGTCAGCTTCGGGAAAACCGAGTTTACCCTTACTTTGCACAATATGAAATTCGGAAGCAGAAGGAGACCCTCGGGTTGGATCAGCTGTCCCTATGAGGAACTTTTCTTCGAGGGTTTCCGTATTTGGAAGCACCGGGGTGATAGGTCCACTGCACCACAGCAGCAACGGAGAACAAGGGTAAAGTGCGGTGCACTTCTCGAGCAGTCCTTTGTGCATAGCAGAGATGCTGGCAATGCAGTAATCCCCTGATCAGGGCTACGCTGGAGAGAGGCTAACCTATCAATGTATGAACCGACTGGGAGCCCTTGAACCCCTTCTCTTCCTTTCATGAAGAACTTGATTGGGTTGGCGGGACGATGCGGGTTTACTAAAACATTAATGAAAACGCGCTGAGACATTCCGCAGACTGCACAGGGGAATCTAGAGCTATGGCGGTAGCGCCTGCAAACCGTGGAAGGGGTTTAGAAGCCTTCAGTGTGATGCTTATACGGGTACGGAAATGCAACATTTGCTTTTCTATTTGTAGAGCTTGCACTGCAACTACTAGCAAATGTACCTGAAAAATCTGATGCACCGTTGCTTTCTTTAAGTAGATGATGTCTCCGGGATTTAGCCCGCTACCGACGATGTTGACTTCCGCAGCAACTTCTCCATCCACAGAGACAATAGATGCTCCGAATTCTGCATTACAGTCGTAAGTGGAAGCTGGTGCCAGCGCTTGGTGCTGCCTCTTCGGCCACGTGCATTCCTCACTTTCATTCACTGTCGCTGCTTGGAAAACGCGCATGTTTGTGCGTCACATATTTGGAGAGACTCTGTTCGATGATTTTATCTAGCTAACCGTGGGAGCTATCAGCCGATGCTGAAAACAATAACGTCGTCTTAATCATCCACCTGGAATTCGCCCTAGCGTATACCAAAATAGGATGATCCTCCGGTAGTGTGATGCCTTCCTCATCTTCTCTTCGCTCAAACTGAGGAGGGCAAAATTAGAAGAAAGGCTTTCAGGTTCAGCTCTGCTATCAAAAAGAAGGAAGGAATTTGAGAAAAAGCTGTCATGCTTGCGCTTATGTTGATGCCTCTTCAAAAGCAGAAGGTGGCATGAACAGCAATCTACCGGTTTGATAATAGTCACCATAGTCACCACATGGTACAAACACTTAGAGCTGAGTGTATACCTGGAACTTCTCTGGTTCAGGGAAGGTAACGATGCCGACTATGAAGCCTAAAGGTCTGTAGAGAGGCACCGTGTCCTCTGGAAGCTTAAACCGAAGGATGTATCGGCCTTCTGAATCCGGAATTGCTCTTGGACAGCTCAGAGTTTGAGCGTCCGGCAATGCATATTGTCCCAGTGCCTCTGCTTTGCCAGCAAACCTCCGCATGGCAGAATCCGAGCATACGGACACAGTCACTGCAAACTCTGCATCTGGGAATGCGGCTGCCATTGCATGTTCTACAGTCAGTTCACGCGTTTCTGGAGAAAATTCGATTTTCCCTAGGTCAGCATCAATGACTCTTCTGATTGCTCCTACTTCGTGGGCCAGAACGTCCCTTATCTGAGAAATGCCGCTAGGAGACGATCTATATATAAGGAGATGAACCGGTGCACGCCTAATCCTTCCATCGCCGAACCTAAGGTTGAGCTTTTCCCAGAAAAGTTTAAAATGCCTAGCCATGTCCCTTACGACTCCAGCACGGTAGTAATGGGGCGAAGACGCTCCAATGTGGCTGACGAACTGAGTATGTTCGACGTTTGTTCCGCCAACAATGCCAACAACCCCGCAGCGTGCGTTTGGTGGACTGAAGACACGAAACGTTCGCAGCAAAAGGCACTTTCCGGAATAAAGGCTGGCAGTCTGGAGAGAGATGCATTGGTGCGGCCTTCAGATGCACTGAAATGACAGGTAATTCAGTGCCTGGCACTGGGTTACCTTCGAAGCCTAGCTTAAGTATGATGCGCTGAAGTCTCAATAAATATGCACCGATGCCACACATACCCGAATGAATTGACTGCAATGCCGATCACCCTTACTACTTCAGAAACCTGAAACTATACACACATATGCTCCTCAGGTAACCACGCAGCACGGTTCTTCACCTGACTAATTGCGAAATGCAAGGAAGAAGGGTAATTTTATCACACGCACATGACGCAGCTACACTCACCTTCTTGATTCCCTCACTCAACGGAGCAAGCAGCTGGTCGGCAGCCCAAGGCACTCCAGCAAGATTTGAATCATCAGTTATCTTCGTCTGGAACTGTAGGTATACGTTCCACCACATATTCATCGACTTATCGTCAGGTCTATTCTTGAAACTCTGAAGAGTTTGCAGCTTGCAGCACTGTATAGGAAAGTCTAACTGAAGTGACACCTGCACATTCGCACAAGGGGGTCAGCAGGATACCAGAGGTAGCCCCTGTTTTCGTTACGTAGCACGAACTCCTTAGGTGTAATGTAAGATGATAGACAAACGTAGTGTGCCGCAAGGCCTTCTGGGGCGCCTACTTGTTTTGCAGCCACCCGCACTCTGTTGTTGACCTCATCTGAGTCATATGCAAGCAACACAACGGCCCCCCGGAGATACTGCTTGTTTTCACTGAAAAGTTCTCGCAAACTTCTCTTTGTCCGTTCTACCCTTCCTTTCTTCCAGTCTTGCTCGTTTCTGATAAAGTGCTCGCAGCAGGCAGGAGCTTCCATGTCAACCGCCACTTGATTCTTGTAGCGAATTCTAAACGCCCAACACATTTTAATCCGCGCACCGTTTTTGTTATTCATATCTATCATGGGATGCACCAGGCTTGGTGCTGGACGAAGTGTGCTACAGCTACGCAGAACACCACGTCCAGGAGATAAATCACGCAAAATGCTCGCGTTTTGATGTTCTCGGGTTCGGCTGCACGCGAAATGCCTGCTTGGTGAGCCATGCACAGTCCCCAGCTTGTCTCACAATTAAGGGTACTTCTAGTGCGAACAGTTTCAGCTATTTTCTTCATTGAAGTGTAGTCACCTCTGGCGCGTGAGCTCGATTGTATTCTTGATAGTTTCTACTGCTCTAGAACTCCCGTGTTCCCTGCGCCCAGTGCAGACAACCAGCATCCAGCGACCACTCAAAGGAACTTTGTGACGTAGAACCTGAGGAGAAGGACGAAAGAAATTCCACATGAATATTTAGCTTTGCACGGTGGAGGAGCCATCGAAAGCTGCAAGGAGTAGCTGGTGCATATGGGCATGTGGTTATACCCCTCGTCCTGCATGTAGTGGGACTGATGTCTCATCGGCACTTCCTGAAATTTCGTACGAGGTTGTTGCAAAGCCGGGCACGGAAATCTGGGGATAGGTCGACGTATGTATCTTGTTGATGTTCTTTTTCTTTGGCGCCCCACGAGATCCTGGGCTCCCCAAAGGATGGAGAGGTTTCTATGAGCCTTTTTAGACTCGTTATCTGCGTGTTACTCAAAAATACACATGTTCAAGTGTCGAATACAACTTCTTGCGCACAATCACCCACATGTTCAAGTATCAAATACAACTTCTTGCGCACAATCACCCAGAATAATTTCTTTAAACTCCCTATTGGTTGCCACTCACGTGGCAGGGCATGCGCTGCAACGTACATTCTTCTGGATGTCCACTGGGAGCCCGCTATCACCTCCAATCCGCAATTTTAGCTCCGCCATTTGTTCTCTCACTGCCGGCATGCGGATGATGCTGTTCATTAGCTCCGTGCACTCGATCAGGGTCTCCTGAGCACTCTTAGGCCTCAAAATAGGTCGACAGCTTCCTGTCGCCTGAAACACTCGCGCCGCAGGCTTCAGCTTTACATTTTTGCGCCACCCCTGCTCACCGGGATTTCGGTGTGTGTGTGTGTCGGTGTCAGCATTCTGGCGCTATTTTGAGGTCCGTTGGCACAGCTCGCAAGCAATGTCACAAGGTGGGCGGGTGCGACCTCACCTGCGGGGCTTGTGCAATGACTCTCAAAAGGTTGACAGGTAAATAACATAGTCTCGAACCTCCGCGGGCTTCTTTCGTTGTCACTACCTGTTTTCCATCAACATTTTGGTTGTACATATCTTTAAAGTACTGCGCTACGCTAATTGTGGCTCCTCCTTTTTCGAAGGTCGCGCGGTCGGCCGTTGTGTCCGTCACTTCTACAATTCTGTAAATATTTCCTTTATGCACTGCAACGCAAAGACGGTTCCTGTACTTATTCCTGGCAGTTTGATAATCCATCTCCCGCAGGCGATCTTCAAGGAGGCCAGGCTCAAGCTTGCGGTCATGCCGGTTCACCTTAATAAGCCAAGCTGCAACAACGGGATAACGGCAGAATATGAATCATCAGGCACGGAAGTTAAATTGAAGGAAGTCATTGGCTGGTATCGCTAGGGGCGCTTGTGCACCTGTTAAGTTGTTCGGTGTTGCTTTACTGTCAAACAGTGATACGGCTCTCTCCAATGGAGGTAAGTTTTAGCCATATCCAGAGAGTGACTAGCCAAGCAAAAGCACTGAGGCTACCATTGTAGACAGCTTACCTTTTTCACTTTGAATCAGGGTTGCGTCAATGCCGTAGAGCTGCGCATCAGTTCTAAGAGTACGGGTATCTAGTTTAATGTAGTGTGATTGGCCCAGAGCCCTTCGGAAATTCGCTGCCTCCAACGTAATCATCATGGCCGCAACGAAATAGAAGCGCCAATTAGGGCCCGTTAACTGATCACCAAGCACAGTTAAACGGCAGCATAATGCAAAAAAGATCGCCGGTGCGTATTTGCAGTGACAGTTGATCAATGTCTGTACTCCACGGTACACGAATAGAACTGCCATGGATTTACAATGTATTATCACGTGCGAAGATGTTATGTTTTACACGGTACCAGATTGAGAAGAAGGTCAGTTTGCAGTTAAGCCCAATGCAGTCCTAATGAAGCTCAACGGACCTGCCGTTCCTCCCCAAAGGTAACATTGTACACCTTCGATGCAGCTTCTCCTTCTCGTACAGCAACCTCACGTGTTTGTTCGTCAAGTATAAGCTCTCTAATGCGTTCTGAGTAGACGATAATCCACCTTAATAACTCAGAGTGCTGAGCCCCTCTTGAGACAACCCTCCTCGGTGTCTCGCCGGCCAGCGGCTTCTGGGTTCCCGTCAGAGATTTGAGGAGCTCAGCCACAACCTTTCTACGTTCCTTCTTTTCCTCAACCTGTTGACGCAAGATAGTGCTGGAGTAAATGGAACGAGCTTGGCCTAAAGGAATGTGGCAGTATTCGCAATGGATAGTTCGGTTGGCGTCACGTGCACCTGCCAATCTTTAAGCCCCACTTTCCTTTAAGTTAAAAAGGCGTTACGCGCACCTACCGGTCTCCCAGTCCCACTTTCCTTTATGCTCAAGGGATAACCCCAGGCCTTCAGGTCACTTTCTAGGTGCATGCTCCAGGCATTGCACAATACCTGGCCTTTTCTCTGCCTTGTCGGTTCGAGGGCGCGTTCGAGGTACTCTGGCAAACGTTGCTGCCTTTGGCCTCCTCTAAATCCCCTGCCCCTTCCACTTAGAATGCATCTGTAGTCCGCTTCCCGTAATCCACTGGGCTGTTCCGACGGCCCCCAATCTCTTCTGCTCTGTCCATGCCTTCGCTCTTCCCTTTGCAGACCCCTGTGGCCACCTCCACGTTCGTCTCTCGGGCCTCCTTGCCTACCCGGCCGTGGATCCCTCCTCGTGCCTCTTTCACCTCGCTCTGACATACTTTTTGAGTTTCTCTCTTGCCCTTCTTCTGATGCCAATCCATGCCGGATTTCGTTGGCCTCGCAACGTGTGGAGCGCTGGAGGCGTGGGCGGCACGCAACGCATTCAAGCTTTTCAAGTATATCTTGTGTTATGAACTCCAACGGATGAGTGTTCTATCCCCTACCTTCGTGACTCACTGGAAAGAAGCAAACTCTGCCGGCTCAGTAAGCTGCGTACCACCGTGCTGTGCACGTCACTCTCGCGCCACACAACCCCACGTTGTCCCTTCTGTACAGCAGCTCGGCACAAGCAGTACACTACCAGATGCCTCTGAAGCCATCGAAACTGATTTCATAGAGAATATAACTGTTCTGACCCCAGTAGAGCCTATTCAATAGGGTGAGACCACCGAAATAGGGGAGAGCTCTGCCGCGTTCGATAGCGACCTTAACACACAAAATTCACGCTTGATATTGTTTGAACTAGTCATGCTTCGTTGAAAGTTTTTGATTTTTTCAAATTTGAGTCTCTTTTGAAGTAAGACCTACGAGGTCACCCTTTCTCGGGACCGCGCACGAGCACACGGCTAACTGCATGTTGCATGCTTGGCAACGGCGAGAAACAAAAACACTCATTCGTAATAGAGCGTTTGGAAATGCCAGAAAATATATCGAAATTCCTTTTGGTGCATGCTGGCAGGTTATCCCCACCGGCGTTAAGTACTGGTTCCCAACACCGTGTTGCACAAGCGATAGCAGTACGTTCGGCCCAATAAAGCCCCTAATGTTCCTCTGCACCTTTAGGTATTTTCATCGAAAACTAACAGAAAGAAACTACATCGGCAAGCGCATACGCACAGTGATGACTGACTGGAAGGCATACTTACGCAAGATACTGCACTACTGACGAACTACAGATCCGGCTAGTAACAAATTTGTGTCAGAGTGAATACTAGTTTAAATTTTTTCTATATCATAATGCGCCAGATAAAGGCGCTGTCAACCGTATTATTGCCACTTCTTGGCCCTGTGAGTATGATGTTCCTGGGGCACCGCGGTAGTAAAGCCTTGCCGTAGCCGTCACCTGCTGGCTTTTCAGAGCTCCAGGTGGTATATGGCTCAACACGCTGCGGATGCGTTCCTCCGCTGCAAACGCAGGAACGCAGATATATCATGAGGGAATTGGACTAGTTCGGAACATCGTTTACTTGCGCACGTAGCCTATACTCTTAAACGCTTCCCAGTCTGACTTGAACGCAAAACCGATGATCGTATCATAGAAAATGGCAGGCCTTCGCAACTCACTTGGTGTCGGGTTCTGAGGAGAAAAAAGAACGCGAATCATTTGCTTGCTTCCATGGGAGACAGTCCCCTTCGACGGCTCGAAAGCAAACAATCTTGCGTGGGGTGAAGGGTCTACACTGAACTCAAAGCTCCCCCACACTTCACCTCTGATAGCAGCATAGGGAGGTAAACCGTGGCGACCTGGACCCCACGCTCCAGCAACAAGTAGTGTGCGCGTGACATCATCGTCGAGTATGTCAGTGTCCTGCTGCGTTCCTCCGGTTTCCCCCTTCTGCCTTTCTTCGCACGCTTTTGGAGGAAAACTCCCTATGTGTTCTTCGGACCCGTCGTGAATGGGCCTATCTACTGGCGGGAAACTTGTGCGATCCGTTGAATTCCGAGCAGAGGCAAGGGAAGGAGGGCCGAATCGTACTTCAAGCGCCTGCTGGAACTCAAGGCGCTTTTTATCAGCTCCACATTCACTACACGCTTGCTGCAACTGTTGGTTAGAAGGCACTTGGTTCCTTGTTTTGAGGGATACACTTCCCTCATCGGCCGCCACACGATTCAAAGGAGCATCACAGTCGTCGGTGCCTAGAAGGTTACGCTCTGCAGAAAGCCTTGGAAGGAGCTCCATGCAGCAAGCTAAACAGGTGCTTCCGTCCTGCAGTGCCTCGCGAAAGTTCCTACCTTCAGGACGGCCGCTGCAGTCACATCTGTGGCTGTGGCTATTGTACCCACTGCGCAGTGAGCGGAGTCCAGCTTCGCGAGGGGAGGAAAATGGCCCGCCGCCTAGCAGTGGTAAGGTCACATACATCGGATTTGCTGTTGCTAGGCCAAAAAAGCTTAATGTTCTTGAAGCTTGTCCCTCAATCGCAAATGTGAGCTCAAAATCACCTTTTAGCCACCCCTCTACAACAGAGACGGAGGAAAATCACAAAAGCATACTTAGCTTCTGTTCTCTTCTGATGCACGGCCATGTTGTTCCAAGCCTTCATAATGACTCAAGGAAGAGAGGTGCGGCGAGACAGACAAAAGGAAACTTTACCTGGGAGCTGCGGCCTAAAATGGAATGCCACATCCACTGAGCTCAACCCAAGGAGTACACCATGTTCTAGCTCGCACGAGAAGCAATTCAGCCCTGTGCCTGCTTTTCCACAGTCGAGCTGAGGGTACCGAGTCTGTTTGGGCCGAATAGCAAATGCCAGTGGAGTGGATGTCTTGTTTCTGAGAGTTACGACGTAACTTGTGGATGAAGAACAGGCAGCTCCTGCATGCATGTTGGAAGCTTTTGCACAAGCTTTTCGCATTTTCAGAAATGTGAAGCATGCATGCATGAAGCCGGGAAGAAATGAGTCGTACAAACGGAATGTTGCTCGGTCTCTAAGCGGAATTGCGTTGTGCAGTGTACGGAAACAATTAACATGTCCTGGGCGATTGTGGTAGTTGCGCTCTCGCTTATCGCGTCACTGCCTAGCAGGCGATTACCCTTGCCTTGGGAAGTGCAAACCACAGCACCCATGTCGTAGGCTGCCAAGGAGGGAATCACGTCTACTGTTTGCTCGGTGCCTTTTCCACTCAAAGGGATTTTTATCCGGGTGCGTCCTGACTGTAGCGTGAGTTCTGCTGTGAAGCTCTGTGGAGACAAAAGATATCATAACACGACTTCAAACACATCGAGTAGTAAGAAGCAATGCCGTGTATAAACGGTGCAGCAAAGTCGTTTTAGCGAGAATCTCTCACACGCCCGCTGCTGTGAATCGCTTGTTCTGCAGAGCCAGTATCCGCTGCATGTATATATTATATTGCGAAATGCAAGAATTTTTACTTGCCTTAGGAGCAGTAGGCTGAAAAGCTATGGTGAGGCGCAGCGGTCGCCCAGGACCCATCTCTCGGGAGGAGCTGACGAGATTGAATCTGCTGCCTAGCGGAAGTGGCAGAGCTTGGAACGAATGGTAACAGGGCGGTGCAAAGGGAGCACGGGTGAGAAATACGTGCTGGAACACTTGTTGTCCCACCATTACGGAGCCGAAGTTAGCCTGAGTTGGCGAGGCGGCGACTAGTGCAGGTGTTGCGCAGGTGGAAACCTACGGCGATCAATGGTAAAAGCGAGAACTCTGGCGGGACAATTGGAAACCCAGCCGCATGGTTGGAGTATGAGATGTTGCTGTGTCAGTGACAAAGGCTGGCGAACTCGGTATTTGCGAACCTCACCTCAATGAATGATTCCGCCATTGGGCTAACGGGGAGTTGTGAAGACACAAGCTCCTCTCCAGAAAGAAAGGCGTCGACCTGTTTAGCCGTAAGACGATAAATTTTAAGTGGTATCAGCCAGCGAGCGTGATGGTACGCCCGTGGGTTTACAAAAGCAAAGAAATCGCCACCCCCATCCTCTTCCAGGCTAGTCCACCGAGCGCCTCCAGCCCGGGCCACCTCGAGCAGAACCTCACTTATGTTTCTCCCACATGTTTTCTCCCAGGTGGAAAACGTCTCTGCAGCATTAGCAGCATTTGAAGCAGCAGGTGCAGGACGTGCATCGTTACCTGCGCTCTCCGCGGATTCTTCCACAGCAAGTGTTGCTGAAAAGTCGCCTTCGTCTCCACTGTTCATTACTGGCCTTGAATTCAATCTACTTTGCTTGCCCTTTGCCTCTCCATGCGTCAAGCTCTTCTCCATTGTGTTCTTTGTGTCTGGAGGTGTGTTAACTTCGGTCTTGCTTGTCTTCTTTACACCTTCCCGGCCTCTAGTAGCCCCTACAGATGATGCTGCCTGAGCCTTTTCTTCACGCACTCCCCCCTTATTGGACTGTACTTTCTTTCCAGATGCAAGTTTAGTACTTTCAATGACAACTGAAGTGACGAGTGATTTCTTAATATCCTCTCCCTTTTCTTGAACTGGAGTGACTGGCCAGAAATGGTGCATTTTCATGTATTCGTTTGTGGGGGTAAAGCAGATGAAGATTGAGGCGCAACGTTTCTTTAAATCCATCAGGATTCGAGTTGGTGTGACGCTGAGGCAACTTATTCTAGACGGTGGCTGTTGGACATCTACCAAAATAGCCATTGACTGTGCGGCTTGCTTTGTTGTTTCAGGGGATCTTGCATGGTTCTGACCCCCCTCAATCTCTCCTTTCCCCGGTGCAAGTGTATTGACTGAAAGCTTTAGCTCTAGGGTTGCCGTTGATCTCTGGCCAAGCGGTATGGCAGGAAACTTTAAAGTGGGAGAGGGCAGGATCGAAATCGGACATTCCACAAAAGTGATTGCCCAGGGAATTTTGACTTCGTACGCAGCTTGGCTTGCCAAAAGGACCCGCAATCGCAGGACTCCTTCACGTTCTATAGCTTTGCCAGTGGCTAATTGCAAGGCATGCGCATCACATCGCAGCTTGGCGGGATCTAGAACAACAGCGAGCGTTCGTGTTTCTCCAGGTAGCAACACACCTGTCCCACCGTAATCAATGTGGGGTAAGTACTGGTGCAGATCGTCCCATGTTCTATTGTTTTCTCCCTGCCACTGCTCGGGCGCCAGAAAAGAGAGCGGCATCTCACGAGCTCCTTCCGCAGGTACAATCACAGACCCGCATATCCTCTTTGAAGTAGGGTCCTCTTCTTTCGCAGGAGGCTCTCTCGATGGAGCAGCGCCGTTGCTCAGGTCTTGTGAAAGGAAAGTACTTACCTCGCCTGCTGCTGGGAAACTATCTTGATTTGTTTTAGTGGATAATTGTTTCTCAGTTCCTCCACAAATATCTGAAAATTGAGGCGGCTCCAAGACTCTCAAAGCGCGATCAGAGGAGCGGAAGCCGTACGATGCAATCAAAAGAGATGGATTATGCACTTTCATTAGCTGCATACGACGAGTCGTGTTGTCCGAAGTTCCAAAATTCAGGGTTGTACGAGAGAGGCGCAGATGAAGCTCAGTGAGGGTGCCTGCACATTGAATGAGGCTTTATCTACAGAAGAAATATAAATGTGGTCCACCGCGCAACTAGTGAAGAATCGCACAACTGTGCTTTTTCTGTGACACGGAAAAAGTTTCCATCTCATTTGCGTCGCTGTGGCCTGTCCAAACGTGGCTCTTTCACTTAGGCAATAGCTGTACACATGCAGAGAGGAGGC